TGATATTTAACACTTTCCAGTGACATTTAATTACTATTAAACAGGAGATGATGCTATAAAACAGTCACAAATTTGGCCTTGCTGATACATCTACACTATTAAATATTAGACACAAAGTTCATAAATATGAACTGTACTGTATATAACGATTATTATTATACAGAGCAACAATTTTGTAAAATTACATTATTTTGTGAATAATACCGGGTGCGTCTCAAAAGTGGCTCACCCCCTAAAACTTTTTTATTTATTCAGTTAAAAAAACGAGATTTGATATGTTAGTATATGACATTAATTAGGACTGATTGACATATTCGATTGTTTTCGGTCACAGTATGATATGTCACAATGTCACTTTCTATGGAATAAGTAAAAAAATTCCGAGGGTGCCATTTAAAAATCAAAAGTTGTAGTCATTTCCGGTAAAACAGGAAGTGGCCAAAAATAATTGAATACGTCAGTCAATCCTAATTTATGTCAATGAATGCATCCTCGGTGTATTTCTACTTTATTTGATAGAAAATGGCACTCTGAATAGACGTGACATCATATGTCAACTCTTGACATTTTCGTTTAAAATAAAATCGTATTTTAAATTTCAATCTAGAGTGCCATACATACATATTTATACAGTTCATAAATATGAACTGTACTGTATATAACGATTATTATTATACAGAGCAACAATTTTGTAAAATTACATTATTTTGTGAATAATACCGGGTGCGTCTCAAAAGTGGCTCACCCCCTATAACTTTTTTATTTTTTCAGATAAAAAATCGAGATTTGGTATGTCAGTATATGACATAAATTAAGATTGATTGATGTATTCAATTGTTTTCGGTCACTTCCTGTTTCACCGGAAATCACTACAAGTTTTTTTTTAAATGGCACCCTGCTGTAATGGCGCCCTCTCTATTTTGTTACTTTATTCGATAGAAAATGACACTCTGAATAGAATTACATATCATATGTCAATTTTTGACATTTTCGAATATTATGGTTTATTTGAAATTGCAACATGTGATTCATAACGACAATTTGACTCGAAATACCAAGTGTGTGGTATTAAATTATTCGTAAAAAAATGCATTTTCCAAATATGCTAATGAGCCACCCTTGTTCCATTTGAAAAAAATGAGATACGATTAGAAATAAGATTTGGGCATCTTTTAACCGGCCAGAACAAGACACGAAAAACATTAGACGATCAGAACTATTTTTCCAAGGCTCCTTGATTATAAATTAGTGTTTTTAACACAGCCATGGCACTCCAGATTGAAATTTAAAATACGATTTTATTTTAAACGAAAATGTCAAGAGTTGACATATGATGTCACGTCTATTCAGAGTGCCATTTTCTATCAAATAAAGTAGAAATACACCGAGGATGCCATTCAAAAATCAAAAGTTGTAGTAATTTCCGGTAAAACAGGAAGTGACCAAAACCATTTATATACGTCAATCAATTCTAATATATGTCATAGACTAACATACCAAATCTTGTCTTTTTATTTAAAAAAATAAAGGTGTATAATTAAAAAGTAACGAATTAAAAATCTTTTTCACTAGTGATATAAAAAAGTCGGTTTCTATTTGAATCGCTCAACTCACTTGTCACAGTGCCTGTGGTAATCAGTAAATTTGACATTTGGGCTATATAATTTTTGTGTGACTGGCAGTTTTTCCCCAAAAATGTTTATTTTTTTCTCAAAAAACGGTTAACGTTAGGTATAGAGTGTTTTACAGAGAACTTATGTGTCTAATAAAAAATGGGAGTACCCATTTAAGATAAGAAAGTTCCTGTCAAGTTCCATTTAAGTGCCGCCATATTGAAAATATTGTTAATTGATAGAAACTTCTGATGCACACTCAGCCTGGTACACCCTGTAATACTCCTATAACTACCCTATACCGGGTGCGTCTCAAAAGTGGCTCACCCCTATAACTTTTTTATTTTTTCAGAGATTTGGTATGTTAGTATATGACATAAATTACGATTGATTGGCGTATTCAATTATTTTTGGCCACTTCCTGTTTTACCGGAAATGACTACAACTTTTGATTTTTAAATGGCACCCTCGGAATTTTTTTACTTATTCGATAGAAAGTGACATATCATACTGTGACCGAAAACAATCGAATATGTCAATCAGTCCTAATTAATGTCATATACTAACATATCAAATCTCGTTTTTTTAACTGAATATATAAAAAAGTTTTAGGGGGTGAGCCACTTTTGAGACGCACCCGGTATAATACACCCTAAATACTCCTATAAAATTATAATTTATAATAAAAAAATAAAAACAAATTCTAACCTTGTAAGTTTAGTTATTTTTGACAAAGAATCATCTCTTAAAGTATTATCGCACTTACACCCTGTATAGTTACGATAATAAGGAAGAATATCATAGACAGATGACTTTAGTTAGTTGGACGGCAAGAGCAGTAATTAAAGCTTAATCTCACGCGACAATTTTCGGTCCCTTGCGATTGTGAAAATGGAAATTGTTCACCTGCCTTTTGGCCGAAATCTGCAAAACACATGTCGGCCACCAGTCTGTGGGAAACACGGGCAGATGCTGTAGGTACACCTATATTACCTGTGCATTTATTGCACGGAGTGCAGGTAAAACCCACCCGCAATCTTCAAGAACAAACATCATCCCCCGAACTAGTAATCCTCTACCCTGAGAACCTTCGGCCCTACAGATGCCTGCTCGAGAAAAAAAACTTTTCTAGAAATAACAGAGAGCCGAACGAAAACATCATCGGTTTTAATTAGTTGTTATCGGCCTGGGACAGATTAGTGTTTTATCGAGTGCCCTTTAAAAAAGCACTCATGTCTCTACAGACACTGCTAAAAATAATGTAGGGCGTCAGGAGAATAGAGAACAGAATCATTAAGGGAGCGTTAAAATAACAGATTTTCGGTTTACTTTTTTTATATATTGTCCCTGAAAATAACGCCGACTAATTTTAGTTCATCTAGAAATGAAAGATTTGTGAAGATACTAATAGGAAATAATTTTGTTTATTATTTATTAAAAATTAGATCCCTTTTTATTTAATAGATATATGTTTTATGACTTTTCTTATATTATACATATATTTATATTGTTTTTTTCTTCTTCTTCACATATTTAATTTTTATTTATTCACATATTCAATTATTTAATATTAAAATCATTTATAAATCAAGGTGCCTTGCATTAAAGAAATTGTTAATTTTATGTAGGTATTACTGAAAAGTTAATAAAGTTATTATTATATTTTTTGAAAATTCAATATTTACACTTTCTAGATCTAGATCCTATACTCTATTCAATAGCATCAGTTGATAGCATAGTGCTAGTATTTTATTTTATCTCACTTTTAACAGGCTATTACTTTTTTATTTTTAGGGATAGAACCATTTTATGGATAGAACATTCATTATAAACAAATTATAGGGTTTTTACTCAAATGTTATTACTTAATATCAATAATATTCCACACTGTCAAATGTCAAATGACTCTCACTGTTATTAGTAGTTTATTATTACATAGTCAGTTAATTATTTTCAAAGCAATTATTTCAAAAATATACCACACGCACGTTAAATTTGACATTATTTTTGTTAATACGCCATTAAATATACAGGGTGTCTTAAATATGTGCAAATATTTTCAGGGCTGGTAGATCTCGATAAAAGAAACATATTTTCTCTTTACCGTTTTTCATATAAATCAAAACTAATGGAGATATTTTACTTAAAAAATTCCAAATTTTCAAAATTTGTTTTTCGCGAAAAAAACCTCATAGACGTGTTTGGAGTCAAAATATATTACCCCTGAAAATATCTGCATTTATTTAAGACTCACCCTGTATATATAATAAAATTGATGAAGTAGTTGTAAAAAACTGTAAACTAAAACTAAAAATGAACCAAGTTTCTAATTATAAATAAAATTTATTGCATCTATTTTTTCTAATTCGCTATAGTTCTAATTTTGTTACAAATAGTAGTAATCGATGTAATTATTTAAATAAAAAAATGGACTGTAAGTACTGGTGTTTAATTTACTTAGATATTCATAAAATATTAGTGTATAAGGGTCGGTATTGAATAGATGGAAGTCGAATAAAAACATAAATCATGATAGAAGCAGATATAATAATGATAATGAGAAAAAAAACGAGTGAAGAGGCAAACATATAAGTAAAAGAATAGGCCGCAGCTGATAAAAACACATGGTATCTCTTAAAAACGGCAAACGATGGTGGCTTAGATCGGCGGCAGCAAGCAGCCATCTGCCCTTGGTCATGATTTCGTAAAATGCAGATAAAGTAAAGGGTTGTTCCTCGTGGTGCAAGCAAGGCAAAAAGAAATAACGGACCAACTGGCAAGTCGAGGATTCAAATCAGAACTGCATCTGTTACGCAGATGGTCTTCAGGCTCGATACCTTCCCTCAAATAGGTAAAAATCACTTGATTACTGTCCCTTTATTATTGTATTTTACCTATGCCATATTTCAAACGATCTACCACCTTTCCGAAGACTTTCTGCTCAGCTCTGCTGCGCTGGCGTCACATGTTTTATTGAAGTTTTTTCCGAAAATATCGTTCCCGCCATATGGCCGAAGGATCTGTTTGGTTTTTCCCTTTATTGCCCGTCAATTCTTTTAGAAAAGATCATACTGCGCCGACCGCCGGTGCTATAAAACGAATTTTTAGCATTTTTGCAACAGTCATATCGAATTTCCGAAAATTGTTTTGTCCACTTTTGAATTTCGTTTATTTCCAAGCCGTATGTACTCTTCCTCATTTTATGACCATTAATTTTTACGTTGTACGCTCTATATTTATTTCATTTGTAAATAGAATGATTTCAAAACGTTTTAATTCTTGGATGCTGTATTGAATGTGCATGAATTATTAAAAAACTATAATAAAAGGATTTAAAAAAAAATATAATTAAAAACTATAGACTTACAGTATTACATTAGTCTTCTACGATCATCTTCATAGAATGATCTTCATCATAGACATATTATGAAACTAGAAATTAGTCATTTTTCCAGGTCACCTTGTATCTTCATTCCATATTGGTGTAGGTCTGGAAGACACAATAAAAATTAATTTGTTATCCAGAATTTTTCTGTTAAATTTTCCATTTATAGGAAATATTTTAATACTGATTATTTATCCGTCTCTTATACCTAGTATATGATCATATTATATAGATTTATTTTTATTTTAGTTACTATATTATATAAAATATTAATAATCAAAATGGTAAATGGTAAAATTCACAGGCAAAAATTACTGTTTTAATTCATTACATTATTTAAAAACTGCAATCCTGTTTTAATTATTAACTTTATTCATAAAAAAAAAACAGAGAGGAAGAAGTAAAAAAAACACTTACTTTTTTGTATTTATGATGCCTCGCAATCACCTCTCATCTTCAAGTTCTTAAAAGGAGTGTTGTCCTGTTATCGTGCTAAAACTGCAATAAAAAAACTACTATACCAAGACAATATTCATGAAGAAAGGATGTCACTCACCTTATATATTCTTAGGTAGACAATATATGACAACTACTACAAGTGCCTCCAATAAATATCTTTCTAGCTTAACAGTTTTTCATCTCCCGTGAACAATCCTGACTAGGTTCGGTCTTGAGGTCTCGTGAGGTCTCATAAGGAGGACATTAGCCCCCTTAGAGATCAAAAACACATTCCTACTTGCTTCATCTCAATAAAAATCAACCAAAACAGACAACGACGTTAGATTTAAATCCGGTGTTTTGAGCATACTTATATTATTATGAATAATCAATGTTCATTCAATTTTATGATTGACTTTTTTATATTTTTTCCAAATCTATCTAAATTTTATAAAAAAAATAATCAAAATCTAACATTCAAACTCAGAATAATGGCTCTTCGAACATCACTTATGGAAAGTACTACAACATACTTTACGTGAATTGAACTTAAAAATCAATAAGTTTATATAATATAGTATTACACCGGATTTCGAATCTAAAAGAGACCTAGCACTAACCTGGAATAATAGAGGAAAGCAGTTAGTTTGAAATAAAAAATGGTTTAATGGTATAATAACACACCTGATTAGATATCGTTGGTCTCATCCTGACAGCTTCTGTCCCCAAAATCTTCGTTCTAAAACTGCATCAGTCCTTATACCTCATTAGGAACCGCTCCAAGAACAAACAGACCTTAGAGCAACCCCTATTACTGAAAAGAAATAAAAATAAAACTTCCACAGCTATTATATTTTAGAAAACTGAAGAAACCTACCCATAGCGTCCATTGTCAGGAAATATACATCCAGAACCGTTCTAACGGCAAGCCTTCTCTTTATGTGGAAATAAAGAAATAGGCATAATAAGATCTCACAAAAATTTGCATCACTTGATAACTGTACCGTGGGAGGTGTCTGCATTGTATCCATACGGTTGCATTCTGGAAAAGGAGATAAAAATTGTTAAAACACTTCAACAATGTCAGATTTAATGCTTAGTTAATTAAAATGCCTCTAAAAATAATTATTACAGATTCCTCCATATTTCCTTTTTCATTAACATTTTTTTTCTAATATAATTTCCGATTATATATGGCGCATTTGGATAATATATATTAAATCTGGATATTAACAAAACATCTTTTGACATGCATTTTAACCTGTCTCTTTAAAAGCAAGTTAACAGAGTTTGCCAAATTTTATCAGTAGCATGGTGAAACCTAACATAAAATTCTATTTTAATATTATTTCCAGACACTTATAAATCAAGGTGTTTTTAATCTTTTATTGCATTTTTAATTAATGTATATTTTCTAAAGAAAAACAACTATATTTTCAATTCACTTTAGGCCTAAAATTTGAGAAAACTGCAGAATTAAAACAAAAAAATATTCTTTTAGTACAAAAATGTAATAAATATTTATTGATCGAAACTGTACGTTACGTAATAGATATCTGTGAAAGGGTTAAATTGTAAAAATGTTAATAGCGTTGACTAATTTGGACTGCGGCTGGGGTGGTAAAAAATAGCCAGGGGCCTAGTTGAATATATTCACCCCCGCAAGATAAAATAAATTATTTCGGTGCAGATGTTTGGAGCAGTTGCGATCCGTTCTTTAAAAAAGTTAAAAGCCCCAGCCCAGATTGTTGATTAATTTTCGTAGGGATTTTTCTGACGTCACTTAATAACCCATTAGTTTTGATTTTCTGTTTATATATAGTTAGATATTTAATATTTTGAATAATTAACATTAGAAAACTCTTCGAATAGTTCTAATTATAATTGGAGGTAAATGCATGTTACCGGCGTTTAAAAGTTAGTACCTCTGTTATTTCTCTTGTATTTGATTAATAAAATACTATCAATGTATATACAGGGTGAGTCTTAAATAAGTGCAATAAATGCATATATTTTTAGGGGGAGTACCTATATTTCGACCCCAGAAACAAGATGAGGTTATTTTCGCAAAAAAATTGGAAATTTGTTTAGTTTTTAATTAAAAAACACAATTTGTTGATAATGTGGCGACATCGGTAGTAGATTAAATTTAGAAGAAAGAAAAAAAAAATAACTTAAAATTTTAGCAAAAAAAAATTTTTTGGAAATTTTCGAAGTTAAATAACTTGGTTATTTTGGATTTATTTGAAAAACGGTAAAGGGAAAATATGTTTCTTTTTTATCGAGATCTACCAGCCCTGAAATTATTTGCACTTATTTAAGACTCACCCTGTATGTATTTAATGTAATTTATTTATGTGCGTCTGCAATTTATAAATAACTATTAAGGAACTACTTGTAGGTAAATAATCACAATTATTTAGCAACAGAATTAAATATGTATGTACAAATAAAAACACTATTAAAAACAGAATAAAAATATGAATATTAATTTTTGAGGAACTACGAGACAAATATTGTTTCTTTTATAAGTTTCATTTGCATTATTTTCTCTGGTATAAATCTATTAAAAAAGTGTAAGACTTGCAAGGGTCTTGCAAGCAAGACCAAGATCAAGACCTACCTTGGTCATGGAATGCAATTATTACATTACTCTAATCCCAATGCAAATTTTAATTTTTGAAATACAAATGGCAAAAAGTTATCATTAATTTCCTGGTTATATTTCGGCATGAAATATATCATACTTTGAGCCTGAATTATATGATTACCTTCCATTTTATGAAAAGAAAACGGTATAACGGTAATCCTAACTCTATTCATTGAGTTCAAAATTGACGATAGAAAAATGGAATAGGGTTGATGAAAAGACAAGCAATGAGGGATAGGGCACACGGAAGAGATTTGGCGCCAAAAAAATGATCCCCCTCGATTTTACTAGATACTACCCGAGCATAAACCTGTTTGTGTTTTCGGGAGCATGCGCACATCTGACATTTTAGAGCACGTGCCTCCTGCACATATGTGCGCGTGCCAAAAACGTAGCAGCTGCTGATTTCTGACCTTTTCTCTTCTTTTGTGCGTGTATCTTACAGACTCTCAAAGCGGCATTGTTTAATATGAAAAGAAAGCTTCTTTTTCAAAATCCACGTCTACCTGGCATATATCAACAAGTACGAAACGCTCTATTCTATACAAAAGATAAACAAATGTCATTTGGCATATGTATAGCATATATGTATGTCTCTTGGAAATTGAAAGGAATACACAGAAGGAAACCTACAATTTTTAGTAATGGTATTTTAATTAACTTCGAAATATATATACTTAAAAAAGTTTTCAAGGATTTCAAATTAGTGGTAATAAGACATCATAACCCAAATATATATGTATATACAACATGTTTTCGTAAAATAGCATTTGGTTTAGAATCCACGGACACAAACAATTTTATGCGTTAATAAAGAATATTTAATTATCAACTTGCTTTTCTTAAAAATTGTAAATAATCGGTTATTATAAAGTTAAACTTAATGAATGAAACATCTCATATATTTCGTGAGCTTACAGGAAGGGCACTATCATTAAAATATATTTAAATGAAATACGGTACAGAAAAAACGTAACGTCTTAACAATTGCTATGGTATCGTCTTATTAGGAATACAAGGGGTCAGAATAATTGGAGCTGTTAAGGTCCAGTACAACGCGCACGACGCATTTTCTTGTTTCCTTTTTGGTAGGAAATTCAAATTTTTTGTGCTTTTATTTTGCCTAACTATAAATAAAATTAAAACGCTTACCTATACATCTTTATATCAGTATTTCTCTATATAGATGTATCGTTAATGTATTGTACAGGGTGAGTCTTAAATAAGTGCCAATATTTTCAGGGCTGGTTTTACCGTTTTTCAAATAACCGAGTTATTTTAATTTGAAAATAAAAAAAATATTTTTGGCTTAAATTTTGAGAACCACTGGATCTTTTCTGGGTTTTCTTTCTAAAACTTTAATCTACTACCTATATTGTTATATTAACAAGAAATTATATTTTTTAACTAAAAACTAAACGATAATTTTTTTTCAACAAATTCCAAATTTTCCAACTTTTTTTCGCGGAAAACCCTCATAATCGTGTTTCTGGGGTCGAAATACACCCTAAAACCCCTAAAAATATTTGTACTTATTTAACACTCACTCTGTATAGTAATTCTGATGATTATGAAAGAAACCAGCTTCCAGCTTGTCAGTGGTGTGTCTTAAACAAGTGTGAGTTAAAAAACATAATTTCTTGATGATATGGCAACATAGGTAGTAGATTAAATTTACATGAAAGAAAATTCAGAAAAGATCCAGTGGTTCTCAAAATTTAAGCAAAAAAGCATTTTTTGTTTAAATTTTCAAAGTAACATAACTCGGTTATTTTGGACTTACTTGAAAAATGGCAAAGAGAAAAAATGTTTCTTTTGACTAGATCTACTACCCCTTGCACTTATTTCTGGGACACCCTGTATAGTATACTTTGTGGCCTGTCACATGACTGTTGACAAATCTTGTATGTAGGTATTTAGAAAAATTATTTTCTATTCTTATTTTTTTTATTTTAAGAAATTAATTCGCCACAAAGGTATAAATATTATTTACAAGAATGTTTTGTGTGACAAAATACAGGATATATAAATTAATGAAAATAAAAATATTTTAGATACATTTTTAGAATATAAAAAAACACTAGGCTATTACGAATATCATATTACATCACCGTCGTTTAAAGCGAAGTAATATTAGACCGGTTGTGCAGTTGGGCCGGGACAAAAGGTAAGGAAACGTGAAAGACGTAGTCCAGGAGTTCGAGATTGGCCAGCCGTAGTTCCGGCAAACTGACCAGCACAGTTGCCGCGGTTTTTTCAAGTAGCTTCTTCAAAATTGCTCCGAAAAAAACCTTTCCCATACAGCCAAACAGGTTACTGTTTCAGTTTATGCTTTTTTTCTTCCTGTCGGGCTCGATTTACTTTTTGATCGTTTATTAATTGGTGACAGTTTTCTGTTCCCAAGACCTTCAGTCATATGGTTCGGCCGTTTTGTTTTATTTTTATTGCGCTTTCAAGAAATAACCGTTACTGATTTCACAAATCCATTATCAATAGCCAATATATTATGTTATTAGAAACTGTTATTGATTATTACTTCAATAGAAAACACTGACACAAAAGTCTACATATATATTTATACGCGATTTTATTAATTCTATATTAGATAGGAAAGGATCATATGGAAGAAATTGCTGATTTAGGAAAGTTGCTGACTGGAAAAGGATTTAATCATTTACAGCAGGAAGATGTAAAAGATCTAGGAACTTGTATCACATGTTGTTGAATTGACTGAAGAAGAACTCAAAGAACTGTAACATGAAGAAAAACATTTGCCTAGTTTGCATTGGTACCTGTTCAGTTTTAATTTAAAAATAGATGTAATTTTTCTTGAATTACCTAAAATCGGCTTGTCCAGAATTGTTTAAATTTGGTTTGTGTATTCAGCATACGCAGATCTTTGAAAAATCTATTTACGCTTTAACTGTAAAATGAATAGAAGATCCAATATTTGGACAGTTCAAAATTTCCTATGGTTCCAACGACGATGCACCACCCGGTATAAGTAAAATTAAATTTTTATAAAAATTCAATAATACAAAGCAATGAAAAAAAAACGTGTGCAGTTAAGGTATAGTGAGACGCGGCAACCTCGCAATTGACCGGAAATTTATTATGTCTTGGTCGCAAGCATTGAATGAAACCAAGTAATGGCCCCTAGACAAGAGCCTTGAACAACGACATGAGTTTGAACTAATTAGACACACCGTGTAAGCCTAAGAAAAATTGACTTTAAATTGACAGCAGCGACGGTTTTTTTGCTTGCTTCTGACACGCGCTGACTTCAAAATTAAGTCGACATCCACCACAGCCAACTTGGCGGAACGCTAAATTGACACGACGAGCTTTTAGAAT